TGTTACTCCAACAATGTACAACTTCTTCCCTTGCTTCCTCAACATTGTGTTGTTACCCAAACAGTGTACAACTTCCTCCCTTGCTTCCTCTACACTGTGTTGTTACTCCAACAATGTACAACTTCCTCCTTTGTTTGGCCATATGTAGTACCTCAGATTTAAAACTTGGAAAAAGTCTGTGCATCTGTTTCTGACTGATTATCTATTGATACAAAACTTTTATGTTTTTAACAATATACTAATCAAATACATTTTTTTACTCATTCTTTATATTGAAAAATTGGAAGTGATTTTTAAAGTTAAAACACCAAATACAAATTTAATTGAAATGCAATCTAAGTCTTATGATAGAATATTTCTGCAATTACCTTAATGGTATTATTCACTTTCAGAGCCTCCTCAGAAATTTTAAATGACTGAGTAGTAAATAGACTGTTGGTATTATATCCACTTCTGTAACAGTTTTCTTTGAAGGTCTCCAAATCTATAATGTTCAAGAACAATGTTAAAAACACACATTTAAATAATTATAATCTACTTACACATTAACATAAAATATGGCAAAAAGTTTTCTTCAACCATTTCTCCTTCCCTTCAAACTCACAGTGCAAACAATAACTTATCAACCATTCCTTCATTCCCCCTCCACTTCAACCTGGAGCTGGGCAACTAGTGGAATTTGCTAAGTGATCAATCAACAAGCTCATTAATTGATTAGTACAACCACCCATATACAAACACACTTCATGTTTTCAAGAACTGCATTACTTTTACATAATACTTAGTATTAGTCTTCCTATTTTCATTCACCTTGTTTTGTTTAAGTAATTTTCTTATTACTCTTGGTTTGACATGATGGTCTCTTCTGAAGGTTGCCATTTGCATGTTTTGCAAAAACCAATCTATTTCTAAAAAGATATTTTGCAGCAATTTCTTAAAGACAATTTCAACATATCCTAGTTGACAAATGAATCACTAAATACCATCATGCAGTTAACATTATGTTTATTTTAAAATATACAGTAATCTCACACCAATCTTCTGTGAAATATATAAATTAACAATTAAATACTGAAAAGATGTTTTACTATCACCGATAAGGTTAATAACATATTTATTTAATACATATCACAACTACAGTTAGAAATAATTAAATAGTCAATCAGCCAGTTTATTTATGTAAATTGTTTGAATATTATAAACACAAAAATAATATTCAATAAAGATTTGAGTCTTCAAAATATTTTGCATTTGCATACCATACTCAGATTTTGTTAAACAAGACCGATGTCTGTAGGTTTACTTTCTTCTTAGAATTCTTCTCAAGAAGTCGATAAGCCGTCTTAACGTTGTTAGAACAAC